TTTGAGAGGGTTTTTTGAGGTTTTCTGGAGACCCCCTGTACAAAAACTTACTATTTTATTTCGAACTGACGCACTGATGCTATGAAAGTGATTTTTGTACAAAACGAATACCTAATGATGTTGAGTACAATGCATGGATGAACAAGCTTAGAGAGTCCTCAGAAGAGTCTCCTGAAACAGGTTTTCTAGGAGATCTTTGAAAAACCAGGTCGTTTGTAAAAAATTTCGAATAGGATTGTATTGATTTTTTCTCTTGGACTGATAGCCCGAGATGTCATCTGAAGACGGGAGTCAAACGGCACCTTGGTTTTCCGCGGCTTCGGCGCTGTATCGGATTTCCTACGAGTCCCAGGACTGGCACCTAGTGACTATTGATAGCCTTGAAAACGAATGGACTATGGGTAATCAATCATGCTGAGCCTCGTGACAATACTTGCGTTTAGAAAAAGTTCTTAGAAACTATCGAAAAAGGAGTTTTACGAAAATTGGGGTTTTCAGGCTGTTTTCACTTAATATGTAAAAATTCACTGTTCGCTCAAAATACATCAGAACGAGTTGAAAACTTCAGAATGTAAAGTATTTAGGCTGTTCTATATCCTATTCACAGGATATCAGAATATAAAGAACACAGGATATAAAGAATTTTCGAATAATGAGTATATGTGCGATTTGTGCTGGTATTGTACAGTGTGAGTGAAAATTTCGACAAAAATAACTTGAATGAGATCTTTTTTCCGTTATTAGGTTATATAATGCTAACATTGGTGATCAATGGAAGAAAAGTTTCTCGACTGTCAGTCTCTTAGTTCTCTCAAAATTCGGCTGTCTTTTTAACATAGCTACTATCCGTCACAAAACGGAAGGCCGGTCATTATTGTTTGAATAACTGAAAGGGAATAAAAGATAAACACTTGCATTTTTCACCATTCGATGGCCAAGGTTTGAAGCTACCTTTCCCTAAGCAAAAACAAATTTTAGAAAATTTTTCGAAGCCGGTTTTCCAGAGGATGTTTCAAAAACCAATTCGGTTTTCTCAAATCGGATATAAATATAAACCTATAAATTCTTTTTCATAGATATATAGTCTGAAGCCTCCTGCACAAAACTGGGCTTAAGCGACATCTCGGGCAAAGATCAGGAAACAGTCTCAAGGCAATGTCAGGAAATATTCTGTTTTATCTAGAGCTATAAAGCTATAAAGCTATAAAAGCGTTGAAAAAACCAACAGAAACTACTTTGATTTCTAGAAAGGTTTCCAAAAAACTTCCGCACTAGAAGAATACTTTTTATTGATTTTACTTACAGAATCAGAATGAGCGAATAAAATAGAGTATTTCCTGACATTCTGAAGTACCTTGGATTGATTTTGACTCAGTTATGAATGTTTTAATTTTTTATGACAATAATCAAAAATGGATTATTTCACCTAGTATAGGTTTTCACTCGGTTCTCGAATTTTATTCTGAAGGCTAACGTTGCCACGAGATTCAATATAGTCGATAACCTATGTTTTCATTCATTTCTGACAGTCCCAAATCTAACGGCAGAGGAGGGCTAAGGCTTCAGGAAAAACGTCCGTAGCTCCGCTTCATAGCCACGGATTTGCAAGGTGTCGCTTAGGCCCAGTTTTTTAGAGGAGACTTCGGACTATGTATCTATGAAAAAGAATTTATAGGTTTATATTTATATCCGATTTGAGAAAACCGAATTGGTTTTTGAAACATCCTCTGGAAAACCGGCTTCGAAAAATTTTCTAAAATTTGTTTTTGCTTAGGGAAAGGTAGCTTCAAACCTTGGCCATCGAATGGTGAAAAACGCAAGTGTTTATCTTTTATTCCCTTTCAGTTATTCAAACAATAATGACCGGCCTTCCGTTCTGGAACGGTGAATATCTGAACTCTCTATCATATTCCATTCTCGAGTTATTCATGAAAATAGCCTGAAAACTTCACTTTTGATAAAACTCGGTTCTTACTCCGTTTTTGAATTCTTTTCGCAAGACAAACCATTGCCATCAGATCCAGTATGGTCGATAACTTATATTCCATCCGATATCAAGGCTACCTGAAGCCGCCGGATGCCAGTCCTACGGTTCCAATGAAAGTGGATACCACGCCCGAACCACTGAAAATCAAGATCTCGCTTGACTCCCATTTTGAAGAGGACACTTTGGGTTAACTGTACATAAAGAAAAACAAAAGTATTTGCAGTTGAAGTTTTCTAGCTATGAGCTGCTTTTCGAAGTTCTGCTCGAAAACCTACTTTAGAAAAGTATTTTCGAATTATTATTAGTTCTGCTATGTTTCACCGTATTTATGGCCTTCTTGCTAAAAATTCATTATTTTTAAGATGATATTGAAAGCCAGCGGGTTAACATATAACGGGTGGCGCATAAAGAACCGGACTCGTTTGTTCGGACCCGTTTAAAGCGGAAGAAACGCGTCTGAACTCGAAAACTGGCCAGTGAACTTAAAATTTCGAGAAGAAGTGTGCAGAGAATTTTGAAAAATGATTTAGGATTAACGTCGTACAAGAAAAGAATCGAACCACTACTCACAGACACTCAAAAAGCTAAACAAATCACGTTTGCAAATTGGGTTCGTCACACTTTTTCGAAAGAACAATCTTTGAGAATTCTTTTTTCTGACGAGAAAATGTTTGATCTCAATGGTATGTACAACTGTCAAAACGATCAAGTCTGGGCTGTGAATCGTGCCGAAGCTGATAAGAATGGCGGCGTTAAACAAAATCAGCAATTTCAACAAAAAGTCATGGTTTGGTTAGGCGTTTGTTCAGAAGGCGTAACTCCTTTGGTTATTTTGGATAATGGCACAGTAAATCATCAACGATATATCGATGAAGTACTTCCTGTGGCTCTAAAGTAGGAAATAACGTGTTTGGAGATGATTGGACGTTCCAGCAGGACGGTGCCAAGCCTCATATTCACCAACTTTCTCAAAAATGGTGCAATGATCATTTTCCTGGACTTATTGACAAAGATCATTGGCCCTCGAATTCTTCCGACTTGAACCTTTTAGACTACTCTATCTGGGACGAATTTGTTCACCAAGTCAACTGGAACAAAGTTCAGTCAAAGACAACGTTAATTGTAGAGTTGAAGCGAGCTGTGAAACGAATTAGAAAAGAAGTTGTACTGGAAAGTTGTGAGAGTTGGACCAAGAGATTGTATCGTTTGAAAGAAAATAACGGAGATTATTTACATTAATAAAAGAACAGCTCGTGATAGAGAATTGAATGGGGAATCTTTTGGAAAAAAATGTGGATCGATAGGGTGAAAACCGGCGGAGTTATAGGCAAAACAAAAAAGTCCGGTTCTTTATGCGCCATCCGTTAGTTTTTTCAAATATAAAAAACATACTTAGAAAGTAGGGGAGCTAGTGGTTTCTAGTGTAGGTATCGAGTAAAATTGTTTTTGTTCTCTTTAGAATTCAAAATCTTCATTTTTCCACGTTAGCTGAAAATCGGCTGGCAGAGCTTCAACGTTTGATGGATACAATTTGCTACCGTATCCTTTGGGATCAGCAATCATTTTATGTGATTCATTATAGTGTTTGATCAGTGTATGACGTACAACCATCCATGCTCGTCTTTGATCAGGCGGCGAGATAGTTTCACTGCATGCCACTCCCGTTGTAGACAGCTGATTTAAATCATTATACCAAGCCCGATACTTCTCGTTATAATATTTGGCAACTGGAAACACGCCCACTTCATCATCGTCACCACGGTATACACATGGAGTTCTCCACCATTGATAACATAATTGTAGAGCCGGTGTATGTTTTTTGTAATATGCAGCACCGTGAAACGCTTGTGCTAAATGATGTGTACTTTCATGTACTTTAACTAAAATTGACTCAGGAGGAGCACAAACACTTATCCGGAGGACAATGGCATGGATCACGCCATTGTTCTACCCTTTCATCTTCATGCGGTTCTGGCCTACTACATTTTGCACCGCAGCCCGGACACTTGCTTTGACAGCCGAGACGCTGAGCAATACTTTTCTTACAACTTTCAAATGCTTGAGCTTTCAAAAACTAAGAAATGGCGATTTTTTCGACTTTTTCCGCAAGTCTTTTGGAAATAGCTGAGTTTTCCACCGAAAAACCCTATTGAAGAAGGACAAGCTTTTTCTATCTTGACTTAAAAACTCATGGGAAATAGTTTGACGACGAAAAAAAATTATTTACAGCATTTTCTGTGTTTTGGTCATTTCCAGCTCCCTAGACAAAACCCTATGCACTTCTTATCTGTTTCCTACCAGAATCTAAGACATCTAAGACATGATACAAGGAAGACGTCTCACCCGCTTTTGAATTTTAATTAATTTAGTGTACTTGTTGTGGTTGATCAAAGGTTTCCTCAAAGTGCTGATCTACGTTTGACATACTGCCCATATCTAGCATACTTATGCATCTTACGAGTAGAACGGCAGACTCTTTTTTCATAATTACATACAGATTACTGGAATTAAAAAAAATTAATACTCACAAACTTTTTATATTGTTTGTTGTCGTGCCAGCTATGTATGCCACTTTGCAAAATTATTTACAGCATTTTCTGTGTTTTGGGCATTTACAGCTCTGGCTATTGTGAGACCATTTCGATCCAGAGTTGCATCGATTTTGTCGTTTTTAAACAATGCATCAGGTGCAGAATTGTTTCCTCTATTAAAATATGAAAACTCTTTTATGGATTTCAGTTTGCTTAATTTGTTTAAGTAAAATTTGCTAAATTAATTAAGTAAAATACTTTTTTTGCGACTACTATTTTAACTTTAAAATATTTTTAAATATCAAATTTTGTTCAGTTTTAAGCACTCTTTCGAATGTAATGTCGTTCAAAAGCATCGAACGAAAACCGACAGTTTTATACATAAACAGCTGAAATTGGTCAATTTTCGGATTTTTTAGGCATAGGTCTTGGGAAAACTTGATTCTTTCCAGAGCAAAATGAGTTATAAGGTTTTAAAAAGATGCGTCACCCCAGTTTTCCATGCTGAGTCGAATGATGTAGCTTTTAATGAAATCCATTTTTCGCAATTGACAGATATACTCGACACGCTCGTGGAGGTTCTCTTAATACAGCGTTTTCACTATATAAGAGCTACATCTGAGGTATTCTTCAAGATTTTTAATAGCTGTTTGTCGTAGAGAGTTTATTCTTTTTTTGTTTAAAAGAGGAAAAGAAACTACATGGTCTGACGGGCGCTGAGTTTTGAATTAGGTCTTACGAGGTTAGATCAACTATCCTATCGCTTTTCGCCTAAAACTTAGTGAACAATGGGCAATCGAGTGTGATGAACCCGAATATCACAGTGGTTTTTCCCCAAAGGTCTTCGGAGACCCCAGTTTTTGGAAAATCAGTTTTTCAGAAACTTTAAAAAAATAATCGAAACCTTTCTTAATAAGGTCTGATTGTAGCCCGCAGATTTCTGATTAAAATGAGGTTTCTCCCAACTCTACACGGTCTTTCTTTGCAAAGTTTTAGAATTAACAAGAAAAGCCCTAAGTGGAGGCCGGAGACCTTTAGGGAAAACCCATTGTGATATTTGGATTCAGCACACTCGATTACCTATTGTCCACTAAGTTTTAGGCGAAAACGGATGCGACAATCGGTACCTTCCCTCGTTAGTTTTTTAATAAGAATTTTTAGAAAATTCGGAAGGAGTTTTCGGATTTTAGAGATGGTTGGTTGCCTGGAAAACCAATAAAGGCTTAATTGAAAAATCGGCGCCGGTCAGACCATATAGTTAGGTGTCTAGGTTAAAGCAAAACAAACCCGGGGCTCACTATTGGCAGTTCAAAGCCACTAACGTGTCAGTATGTCTGTAATGTGATTATTCCACAAACAAAAAGGTGACGTAGATCAGAAAAAAAGAAGCTTTTCAGGAGACGGCATAGTTAAGTAACTGTTGTGGCCAATTTAGAAAATCGGTCCGTTTATAAAATAGCCGGCCAATTTATAAATAGACCCGGCCTCATTGCCTGTTTGTAAATTGGCCAATATGCAAATGGGCCAGTCAGTATGAAATGAGCCGTCAATATAGAAAGTGGCCAGAAATAGTTGACCCACTACTTTCAATAATGGTCAGCCTTTTTTGGAAAATTAAACAAAATCGTTTTTAGTAATAATTAAAACGATTACTGAAATATTGAAGATCTTTTATTGAGTCCCAAAGATATAAAATGTATATTATTTAATTTGAATTTTTAGTACCAGAACTAACATTTTTACAAGAAATATTAATATGACAACGCGAATTACAAATTTGTTTATTTTCTCTACAGGTACACGAAGACGCTAGACAACTTTTCTTGCCATTACATTTAAGAAAGTTTTGTCCACCAAGAACAGATTCATTTTCAACAATATTCCTCAAACTGCGTTCTTCAAGGTTAATATCAACTATTTTTAATATCCTTCAATCACATTTCTCAAATTGATTACGGGCATAGAAACGATTAATTGTTCCACCTCTACAACCAATTTTATACATTCCATTGATTTCTTTGATAATCAAATCTAGAACATTTGGTGGATCAGTACAATATTTGTCCATTAATGGCACTGGAACTCTGATATTGTCGCCAAGTGTAACAAGTGGCAAATGACGATCACTATCACCAATCATTTTAGCAGCAGGTGCTTCTTGATTTGAATCAACAACTGAACGTATTGATTCCATAGCTACTTTATGAGTGGCATGATGCATCACATTCCTAAATCAGAAATAATTGTATTAAAGAGCTTTTCAAGGATATAAATGAAGATTGCGAACTAACTCATAGGTGACAAAACGATTTTAAAATCACAAATAGCTCACAAGTCTGTTTACCCTAGTGACGCTTTTTTTCTCAAGCACATGACTTTCTTGAATTTCTTGAGTAAGAATCTCATGGCGTGGAGACATTTCTTACTAATGCAAAACGCATTTTTTCCGATGTCATGCGCTTGACTTTCTTGACTCACATGCTTGAGTTTCATATCGCAAGACACTCACGCATGAGATTCTTATCTCATGCGCTTGACTTTCCTGAGCCAAACTTTTCTCTGTCTTCTCTTTTCGATTTGCTTTGATCAATGAAATTCGAAATTTTGATTTCGTTCTTTCAATGCCAATATATAGAAATAGACTGGACGTGTCTGTGTATAGAGCAGACATGTAGACGTTATATACATTCAAGAGAATAATGTACGTTGTCAATACAGCCTTCTTCTTTTTTAACATAGTAAAAACAGTGACCGATAACAAAGAGATATAGAAATCGAAAGAAGAAGTGATAACTAATATAGATAGATCGAGGGGTTTACATATGAATAAACACGTGAAGGAGAACGTGACCGGATACGTATTTGAAACGTGATAAGGAATCACTTCTTAACACTTCCCTCCTTCCCCAAGATGAGCGATCCATGTGCTCATCTACTGGAGTCATAAGAAAAAATTTACGTCTATGCTCTTTTGTTGCTTTTCCACACCTAGTCTTGAGGTTTCCAGAAGCTTTGTATTCAGTGTATCTGTTGAATGTGCTGATGTTGTAGCACCAACGAAATAATCATAATACACTGATACCATATAACATATCCTGTGATATCGTGTAATGCTACTATAGTTATAATCATACATTATACCATCAACTGCCACCTGTATAAATGTCTATTTTGAAAATGGATCCTTCGAGCAGAAGGCAGTGTACATAAAATCCATAGTGAATATCGTTACCACACTCGAAATCACGATTCTATACTCACTCAGCTATGTTACGCGATTTCAAAGCATATATTCAGAATCGGCATGTCTTCAGCTATCTACTGATAGCAAAATGTTTATACTTCGAAAGTAATTGCAACAAGTAACAGTTAATGATTCTTCATCATCTCATACCGGTATGACATTACTTCTGTGTAGTGATATCGCTAAATAGCGCTAAACCCCTATAGACCTTCTGAATACATCAAAATGTTCCTCTACAACCAGTCTATTTATGGTGAAACCGTTTAACGTATCTTTATCTTTTTCTTGATGTCGCATGCAGATATCTGTATGTCAGATATAAGGATACATACAGAACAGAAAGCATAATCTGTATGCGACATCAAGAAACAGATAAAGATACACTAAACGGTAGAGCTCTAGTGTGAAGATGAAGACCATTTTTACTCGCATTTTTTGCATGTTTTAACCTTCTTTTTGCTGTTGATTTGTCATAAAAAAGGATAAAAAGTTAAATAATTTGAATCTTTAAAGATTCAAATTATTTAACTTGTTGTGTGTACTTACTTTGAAGTTAATTAACTTCAAAGTAAGCACACAGCAATTTGAGACGAAGAAAGAGAGAGTTAAATCGTCCTGTGTTTTTTCTGTCACAAAACTGACCTATCTTTCTCATTAACAGTTATTAAAGGTCTTTCTTCTCAGATAACGTACCGAATCTAAGGTCCTTTCCTCGTTGTATAGGCTCAGTTAAAAATATTGACTGTGCAAGATTTTCAAATAAAAATGCACAATTGAGACATGCATCAAATATTTATCATTACAATTGTGAGTTTCCTAGATGTAAGATCGCTTTGCCGTTGGCGGCTTCCAGGATGTAGCAAGTATCAGTTTGGTCCTGTTTGATGCACAGAGGACTGGATGCCAAGCTATATTACCTCATTCACAGGATGCTAGATTGGCTCTAGCAACGAACTGATATTAGCGTCTAGTATTTACGGATACGCTTCTCTGAAAGTCCAAGCATGGATGTTTTCACATACGATAAACGTTACCTTATCGGTAAAACTCACAGACGTACCTTAACCTCATCAACCTTTCTCACTTTTATTTTGAGATCAAATTCCGGTCACATGTCGAACCAAAACTGAGAAATACAACGCGGACCGAACTTAGTCAATCTGAAAGGAACATTTTTCTCAAACAAACACATCACAGGTTATCGGGAAATTATATTCAGCAGTGTAATAAAAGATAACATGAAGATTTTAGAGGGTGGAATGAATAGTAGAAAGTCAAATTGCTGTGTACGCGCTTTCAACTGTCATGAACTTTTTATTGAAAACTCATTTTCCTTTGCAGATAGAGATTATGCCATAGTGATAGTGCTAGATGGTCGAGAAAGACTAAAAACTGATTGCACCATGTTCTCGAAGAAAAGTCCGAGTAAAACATGATGTAACCGAGTCTGAAAAACGAAGCGAGAACTATTCATAAAGCGGAAAATCGATAATGCATGACTTTCTTAAGGTATGCACATGAGTTTCTTGAGGTATGCACTTGTTTTAGATATTTCTTCTCTCATGCGCATACTTCAAGCAGCTCAAGCGCATGAGACAAGAAAGTCAAGCACATACCTCAAGCGTTTTGTATGAGTAAGAAATTCATGTGCATGGAGACAAATCTTGAGGTATGTACTTGCTCATGTGCTTGAGAAAAAAGCCTTCACTAGGGTAGTATATTCGATGTATTAGCTGTATATTCCAAGTATGAAATATAAGTTTATGCTTATGTCAGCTCATTAAAACGGTTTTGTTTGATTTTCCAAAAAAGGCTGACCATTATTGAAAGTAGTGGGCCAACTATTTATGGCCATTTTGTATATTGACAGGTCCATTTGCATATTGGCTAACAAAATTTTGACCAATTTACAAACAGGCAATGGGACCGAGTCTACTTATAAATTGGCTGGCCTTTTTATAAACAGACCAATTTTTCAAATTGGTCACAACATATATACGACTATACCCAATACACAAAAATAATTTCTATCTATATCCATCGAAAAATGTCATGCTTAAAACTAAGCTGCTGTCATTCAAGCACGGTCTGTCTATATGAATGATATATGTTTAAGCATTATTCGAGATGATTGAGCTCCCATACTTCGTATTGATATCAGGAATGGGAAGAAAATTGATTACTCATATATATCTGGCAAGCTGCCTGGAAAAAGTGAAACCCGAATTAGAGTATAGTTGTCATACATATATGCGTCTACCAATACCTGCGTTGCAGCGCTGCTCATAGCACCTCCCTTTATTTGTTTGAAGAGTTTTTCTCCGAGGGCGTGCACAATTTCAATTCGCTGTGAACTCATTTTTCTGGAACTTTCTTGTTTCGCTACGTATCTTAGGTATTTAGGGTATCTAGCGCATCGTAGATATCTTCGGTATCTTAGCCATCTACGTAGAAACCCTAGTTACCTAAGATACCCTAGGGTATTTAGGATATCTTAGGTACCTTACGACTTTAGGATATCGTGCAATTACTTTTCGAGCTCACTCTCAACCTGACCTCTCCTCCCCCCGTCCCGCCGACCACGAATAACCTTGTACATGTGTCCGATAGTGTACCTTCTAATGATAGTGCAACACTTTAAGAACTGTGCGTTATCCAGTTGTTTATAGTTCCGGAACTGAAGAAAACTGTTGTAGATTCTGTTCAATACAATATGTTCTGTTTCTTTTATTTTAGGAAGTTAGTCATAACTGATTCTTCTTCTTATAGTTGTATAAGTAAGTGCATTTTCATCGGGCAAATGAGATAAAAGAGAGCGGAAAAAAAGCGGCATTTATTATATCTGCAGGGTGGACCAGAAGTCCTAAAGTCACTTATCTATTACATTGTTATCCATATTGACTTGTGTTTAACAATTTAATATTTAGCTCAAAAGTTAGAGAATTTAATTCTGTAAGAAACTATCGATTTTATTTGAAATTAGTTTTGAATCATTACTGTGAAAATAAAAATACTAAAATGTTACGTTATAAAAATTGATCACCTATTTAATTGAAGTTCTTCTTAGTGTATTTAACTAAAAAAGATTTATTAATCAAAATACAATACACCATTAAATTCAGCGCGAAACTCTGTACAAAGTCTCATACTTCATGCGGCAAAGAATTGACTCTTTTTCTTTGAATTACATAGGAGTCTGAGAGAATCCATCTTTGATAACATCCAGGATTATTTTTCATTTTTAAAATTAAATTAATATTTTTATTTTCTGGTGTACGAGATCTTGTAAAATGAGAAATACTGCATCTTCCAAATGCATGCCGGTTAGTTTTGAGTTTGAGAGCAAAATACTGATAATAAGAAGAATAATGATTTTACGCAAATAGTATCAGTTTGTACAGTGTAAAATTCCAAATGGTGCATTCCAAATGGTGCATTTTGGTTTTCTATACGAAGAATGATTACTGAGAAATACTTAAAAAAGGTGTTGTTTTCTTAATATGCACTCCAAGGCTTGGTCTAACACTAAAACACATATTGTTCAACAGAAGTCGTCGAGACGCATCTGAGTATGTACTTTGTTAACCTTCATTTCGACAATGATGTAAGTCATGTTGAAAAAGAAGAAATTATCTATCAGAAAAATTTGAAATGTTCGAGTTTTACATACAAAAACTGAGTTTTACAATAAAGATTGTAGAGATTCATTTCCTGACTTGGAGCAATAGTAAATGCATATCAATCATGAATAAACTTAAGAAACCATTAAGATAACGTTTATAGTATCTGGTGTAAGACGTGTAGTCGTCAGTCCACGTATAGAAAAGAAGAAGTAAGATCTTCGAGATACTATAGAAATGAACATTGTTGTGTAAAGAGGTGAAGAGTATATACATGATTTATATCCGTCTGTGTTGGCAACGGATGCATCAGGAGCAGGGATGGGTGGAATATTACGCCAAATAACACTGGATGGTACAAAAGCCATTAAATATTTATCTAAGAAGTTCAATCCTGCACAACAAAAATACTCTACTACCGAAAAAGAATGCATGGCTATTCATTTTTGTGTTAAACAATTAAAGCCATATTTATGGGGGCATGAATTTACGGTAGAAACAGATCATTGCCCATTATGCAATTTCCACCGTAAAGCGTCGAACAATAGTCGTGTTGATCGATGGTCACTGGATCTGTCGGAATATGATATCACCGAGATTAAATACAAGAAAGGGAGATGCCATTGTGATGCCGACTTACTATCAAGGTATCCGTACATGCAAGAGGATAGCGAAGAAGGTCAACAAGATATAACAACGCGTCGATTTGAGTCAACAACCAAATTAGACGGACAACATCAATTATCGCAAGTAAATGCTGTTACAAGGTCAATGACCAGTTTGAAGAATCAATTACCAACAGGAGATCGAGATCAGAAAGCCAGAATAAGAACAACAAAGGATCATCCAGCTCCATCATTATTATCAACTGGATGGCCACAAAAAGTAGGTAGTGATATCAAATCAATCGAACTAATGGACGTTCGGCTAACCAAGATAAAAGAATAACAACAACATGATAAACTAATTCAAGAAAAAATTAAACAAGTGAATAAAAATTCGGCTATACCCGACCTCACAATTGTCGATGGAATTTTATATAAATTAGTGAATCGAGGTGGTATAACAAAAAGAAAGCTGCCATTTATACCAACATCCATGGTACAACAAATATTATCGTTAAATTCTGACCATCCATTAAGTAGTCATTTTGGCACTCGTCGTACCTTCAACAAGATTAAAGATGAATATTATTGGCCACAAATGTTTGATACAGTACAAGATTATGTACGGTCATGTGAAAAGTGCGCGAAATTTAATGTTAAACGAACAAAGAGTCCGGGATTTTTACAACCAGTACCACCACCTGAAGGTGTTTTTGAGGTGTTACATATGGATTTTTGGGGTCCAACACCCGTACCATCAGTTCAAGGAAATCGATACGTATTGGTATTTACCGACAGTTTATCGAAATTTGTTTTCGCTAAAGCGTTACCAACAAATACAGCCAAAGTGGCAGCAGAAACATTAACGGAAAATGTCATCATACCCCATGGGACAATCAAATGTTTAGCATCGGATCAAGTTTCTCATTTTAACAATGAGTTACTGAGAACGATAACAACGCTGATTGTGGTGTTAAACAATCGTTTTCAATCCCACACCATCCTCAATCAAACGGACAGGTAGAAAGGTTCAACGCAACATTCGGTGCCCAGCTGGCAAAATATCAAGATGGCAACATCAATGATTGGGACGAATACTTACAAGCGGTGGTGTCTGCGTACAATTCAGGAATCCATTCAACAACTGGATTCACACCGTATGAATTAGCATTCGGCAGAAAATTTGTCCAGCCATTCGGTTCAACATCAACAGCAATTACAATGTCAAGACCACATGATTATTTTGAGAAAGTGAAACGATTTAGAATAGTTGCGAACAATGCAGCACGATTTAATATTCAACAGCAACAAAAAACATCAAAGCAACGATACGATAAAGGTAGGAAACATTCAGTATTTGCAGTTGGAGATTTAGTATGGGTGGGATTTAGTATGAGACAATCCCATATGCATTAGAACTATTCAAGATTATCCAAAAATTATGTTCAAAAGCAACAAAACCTGTGTTTATTGAAGCGTCTGTTCATTGTTCAAGTGATAATTTAATGAATGATGAAATTATGATGGAAAACAGCGTCTTCCTGACGTTCCATTTCGAGCAATTAAAATTTAAATATTTCAAACGATTATTATTAATGATCACAAACATTTGAGAGTTATACATATTACAGAGTTTATTGTACAGATGTAACGAGAAAATCACATCAAATTCTTCTTTTTTACAACTGCTTATTTCGTCAGTGAAAAGACCAGGATGATAATCTTAAAATGTCATGCGTCATGGGCTCAAATCTACTTTAATAATGGAGATGTGACAATTTTGTAATGACAAGAAAACATGCGATCTTGCAAGGTCTTCTAAAACCTTGCTACTGGGAGCGTTGACTCATTCTTAGGTTTTATCATAAGATCATCCGATTTCTTCGCACAATATCTTGCAAGAAGCGATGAATCACTCTCAACCACGTAAATTTTGTTATGATATACCGTATATATACAACATTGTTCCTATCACAAAACTTAGAATTTGGTTCTTTCTTCAACTTCGCGTGCCAACTGATTACAAATAAAGCAAACGGCAATAAAGACGTGAGCAGACATTCGTGCATAGAAAAGTGTCTCTTTCCATACCACATTACATAACGAAGACTGTGAGTCTTTAAAGTGGCAAACACAGTCTCTGTACATAATGTGACTAATTCTATTTGAGGCAAAAAGAAAAGAAATATACATATATATGAGTGATCCTGATAAAAATAGTACCGTTCGGATGAAGTAAATGATCCCAAGCGTTTCTTTCCTTAGCCTTGATGAATCACTTTCGGACTTCTCGCATATATTCAACAACGTTAGGCTTAAAATCGCTGCAAGTACGACTTTTCTATGTTTAACCGTGAACGAATTATAAGCAAAATATCCATGTTTGGCCGTTATTTTGATGTTGTTTTTCTGGTGATTCAAATACGTTTGATTTTGTAAATGTTATTTTCTCTGTTATTTTATGTGGAGCAATATTTATTTTTTCTCTGTTTCTTATAGTATTTTCTTTGCTCTACTCAACTACATCATCACCTTTGTTACCGGTTGTTCTGTTTTTTCAAAAATTTGTTCTGAATTTGTGATCCCCAAAAAATTATTTTTTCTGTCCCGTAACCACATGATCTGTGATAGCTCTGGTAAGTTATTCAATTTGCCTTCTTTATATGCCAAAAGTTGACTAAATATATAAAATAGACAACAGCGAAAATCCGACGTTTCTATCACTTTTCACTACCAAGTAATTCCCACTTTACTGAAGTTATGTGAGGTTTGACTGACAATTTGTCCCGTAACCACCTATCATGCCACGCCTCAACCGGGCTTGATAGAAAGTTTCTTTTTTTACCACAAATGTTGTCTACTCACACGATGATCTTGTTTAAATAGCAAAGACTAAGATTGCTTTATAAGGGAGAAAGGTAGAAAATACAAAGAAATGTCCCGTAACCGTTTTTTTCTGTTTCTTCTGTAACTTTAACATACCAGGCGCGAATAAAGCCAAACTTCTAGTGTAGAGGTTTCGAAACATGTTGAATTTAATGAAGTACATAAATAGCATTTAGACCGACCAAAAGGTGGTTTCCTAGAGGACGGAATTCTCTACAAACCGGTTTCTTCTCTTTCACTGTTATCGAAAAACCCAGTGCGCTTGATCGTTTTTTAAATAAGTCGAGCACAAAAACAGCTAAAGAGCTCGGGTCTTCACCATTGGTAAGAAAAGACTTGAGTGCACTTTTCTAAACAGAAAAGATTTCAAAAATCTTTTTCGAAAGTAGGCTTTTTAAGAGATCTTTGAAAAATCAGGCCATAGCTCAAGAACTTCAAGTACTACTATCCATTTCAAAATATAGTGTGGGTGATTGCGACATAATAACTCGAGAACGGAACAAGCTATCGAGATTGGATCTTCTCCACCGTGTAGCCAAGACCGGGACACGTAATAATATGCAGAAATCAAAATTTTTTGCGCTGATCTCTGGAGGATTTCTAAATGAATCTCTAGAAAACCAGTTTACAGCTCTAAAGTTTTACATAGGAATCTATCAGTTTTTTTTCATATATGGATAGTCAAAGGTGTTCTCTACAAAATCAGATCCAAGCGACATCTCGAAAATTCATGATTCGGGAGCTACGGGCATTTTTCTTGAAACTTTAGGACTCCTCTGCCGTTAGTTTTGAGACTGTCAGAAATGAATGAAAACATAGGTTACCGACTATGCTGAATCTCGTGGCAATATTTGTTTTCTAAATATATGAATATCCCATTTCTGCTTATTTTTGAGTAAAATTCAAAAATTCATAACTCAGTCAAGATCAATCCAAGTTATATCAGAATATCAAGATGTACTCTATTTTACCTGCTCCAAACGATTTTTTGCTTGAGAATAGTAAAAACATTCTTGTGGTTCGGAAGACTTCTAGAAAATCCTTTCAAAAACCAAAGTATTTTCTGTGGACTTTTAACGCTTCTGTTAAACTGCATAGTATTGAGCAGGTAAAATAGAGTATATCTTGATATTCTGACATAACTTGGATTGATCTTGACTGAGATATGAATTTTTGAATTTTACTCAAAACTAGACAGAAATGGGATATTTCCCCATGAAATAATTTTGATACTCAAACGCAGGTTAGCACGCGTTAAAAGAACTAATAGCTTAACGCGTGCTCACAATTTGGATGCTCTTGAAAGCGTGCAAACGTGTCATCTTTCGAACTTGTATGTGACCGGAAATGTCTCAAAATTAACACTAACTCGTTAAAACACGATTTCATTACAAAAATAGTAAAAGCTGGGTTAAAACTAGTTAATCAGGAAAGGTTTGAAATTATAACGAGACAGGTAAGCGCATTAACGCGTTAAAACCGCGTTAAATGTTTCATATTCGGCGGTTTTGACGCGTTCAGTTTGTAACGTGTGCTAGCGTTACACCTCAGTGGTAGAGCATTCAAACTCGTTCGATTTTTTTAACGACTTCGAACGCGTTAACATTCGTGCGATTCAAAATGTTCTAACTCGTTAGAACGCGTTAATATATTTAACGCGTTTGTATGATTTTGTTCTTGTACTAATTAGGCACTGTTTTTTTGTTGATCCTAGGACCCATCAGGTTATGATCCACTAAGTACTGTTCATCAGTACCATTATGGTGGACTAGTCTCGTACAGTAATTTACAGCAAGAGAAAAACTTAGAAAAACTTCTAAGCAAATACTTCGTATATTTCGAAGGAAAAGGCGTGATATTTATATATGATTTGGTTATGCAAAACAAAACGGTGATTGCTAAATCGCTGCTTTAACGCGTTTAAACACTTGAAAATGTTGATGAGTCATCCCTGAACGAGTTTGTATGGGTTGAAAGTTATTCTATCCGTGTAAACGAGTTAAAATAGATCTTATTTAGAAATATACATTTTTTCTTTATGATCAAACGCGTTCGAATTGTGTATGACCGGTTTTCGATGAATTCACATGTTCCAACGTTTGAGTTTGAAACATAGCACGCGTTAACAACTTGCTACAGTTTAGTTGATAATAGTTTCAACACAAGTACGCTATTAAGAGGATGCGATGCGTTCTCTGTTATGTGATGTTTTTGATTGCCCATGTCCATTGTCATTGAAAAGAAGAGGGGAATAGTATGGTCGAGTATAGCTCATATCTTGCACATATGAGATTCTTCTTTTGAACCATAATAAGAAAAAATTTAGTAATCAGGGAAGCTTTTTATTATATTTAATCTTCGCTCCGACGCTAACAGTTTCGAACTACTTATTCTACTGCTTGTTTGTAAAAAGGTTCTTCTATAGAGAAGAAAAAAAAGACAGTGAAGAGATGTGTTCACTTATTTAAGATGAACTCATTATTACTTGAAGTCCCGTGTGCGTTTTGCTAAGTTCAACGGATTTGAATGGAAATTGTACATGTATACAATTTACGTTTGTGATTGGTTGAACGTACGATTACAAATGATAGATCAACGTGTAAAACGCGATTATATAACTAGTCATGTACCAATACAATATATTGGGTATCCAGTACTATTGTACAATATCTTCAATAATGCTTGGTATTGGTGCATGCCTATACATAACACGTAACAATTCAATTTCAAAGCAGTTAAATCTGATGGTTCTAATTATAATCGATTTTGGTTGCATCACTATTTAAGAGCAGTTAGAGCGCATTCGATACCCACACTGGTTCAAACCCATTACAAGTAACTTTTTCATATTAAACTCATTCATACGCATCAACAAGATCTAAACGCACTTGAACTCGTTCAACTTGAACGCGTAAAAACTCGTAAGATCTTTCAGAATCATATTCAACGAGTTCTCACACATCACCACTCGGAAGAAGCGTCAGTAAGCGTGATTTTTGAAAATTTAACCCGTTTAAACGTAATTTTGGTAAAAAAGATATTTTTAACGAGTGCTAACCTGCGTTAGGGTATCAAAATTATTTCATGGGTCACCTAATGTACGTTTTCACTAAGTTTTTGAAACTGTTTAGAAAAACAAATATTGCCACGAAACTCAGCATGGTCGATTACCCACAGCGCATACGTCTTTAAGGCTACCAATAGTCACCGGGTGCCAGTGCTGGGACTCGTAGAAAATCTGATACAACGCCCGAACCGCGAAAAATCAAGGTCACACGTTACCGCTATTGTGAAGAGGACATTCCAGGCTATCAGTCTATGAAAAAAAAGCAATACAATCCTACTGGAAAATGTTTACAGACGGCATAGTTTTTCCAAAGACCTCTCAGAAAACCTGTTTCAGAAAACTGTTATGAAAACAACTTTGGTTATGAAAATATGCCCCCAAGTTTCCTCTTTCCACTGGTGAAAATCAGAGCTCTGTAGCTCTTTTCTATCAAAAGATATTCAAAACACAACCAAGTGCACGG